AATATTAAAGTGCGAGAATTTAAATCTACGCTATTACAATGCTTTGGGGAGGGGATTTACATTGTTCAAGAATGAGGGGGATAAAGCAGTAAATGTCCTAGTTTTAATCTATTACATCCAGTGGGCAGGTACATCAATAATAAAAATACAGAATTAAATAAACGCGCGTGAAATTGAAAAATACGTCTAACAATATCCTAAGAAATAAAAATCTTTTTGGTTGTTTTTTATTATGAAAAGAAAATTAAATCTGAATTAAGTCCTAAATTCTAATTTATTTTAAGTTAAGAAAATGGTTAAAATTTAATTAATCAATTAATTAAGAAATTAATTATTCAATTAAAATGTCTAAGCCTAATTTTTGTGATTTTTTTTATTTAATGTCAAGTTTAATAGAAAAAGAGTCAATAAAGAAATGAAACAAAGAATAAAATACAAAAAGAAAAATGGACTCCTTCGATTGCAAGGAGAATGGACTTTTTGATCCAGAGGGGATGTTGTCCTTCGATTCTGTGAAGGGGATGGGATTTTTTATCCAGGAGAGATGTTGCCTTTTTCGATCCAAGGAGGGAGTTGTTCTTCTAATTGAACCTACAAGGAAAATGCTGGCAAAAAAATAAAGATGCAGGACCTGGGTATCGAACCCAGGTCCTTTTCCCTAATTCGAATCTTCTGTCCTCAGGCCTAAGCTTATTTTGACTTGAAACGGACTATGCCATGAGTTTCGAAAGGCAGATCATGTCATGCCTTTTGATGGCGTGATTTTATTCCTGCATGTTATCTTGTGTATGATGTGCAACTAGAGATGCTTCAATCTGAGCGTGGCTTGGCTTGGAACAGATTCTTGGGAATCTCAAGAACACAAATATATCCTTCATCTGGATTAAGGGTGCCTACAAAGAAAACTAGTTAGAATTTTGATCCTTTCTATGGTGGTGTGAGTATTCTCTTTTTCTAGGCAATCTCTTCGTGTCTGATGCAACACTTGTGATCTCTTTATATAGAGGGGGTAGAGGGGGAAAAAGGCAAAGGTTTAAACAGTCTTGATTATGTGTTTGAAAGCCATGAATGAGAATTTGTAACGTTGGCCAAAAACATGGGATCTTATCCTTTTTTGAATTTTGAATGTATATGGACATTTGACTTTCGAGTGGCTCTAATGGCCTCCTTCGAATGGCTCTGATGGCCTCCTTTGAATGGCTCTGATTCAGCTCCTTCGAATGGCTCTGATTCAGCTCATTCGAATAGACTTTTTGAGTGTCTTTCGAATAGTCTTTTGTTGCCTCCTTCGAATGGGCCACCAATGTGTGTCCTTCGAATGGGACTTTGGAACACTCTTTCGAAGGGGTCATATTGGGTGTTATAGTGTAAAACCTGTGTTGAGGGGTCTTGGCCCTGTGCATTGAAAGCAAACACATATGAAGTCTTTGCCTTGTGCATTGAAGGTAATCATAGAAGAAACCTTTTCCCTTGTGAATCCAAGACAAGTCTGAGAAAGCCTCTGCTTTGTGGATCGAAGGCAAGTCTGAAGTAGCTAATGCACAGTCGAAGCCTTGTGAACCAAGCTTGGTCAAAGGGGGTTTAGTTCCTGATCGAAGGGTTTTAGATGCCCAATCGAATATCCTTGTTCAGATGTCAATCGAAAGACATCTTATTCAGATGCCAATCGAAGGGCCTTGTTAAAGTGCAAATTGAAAGACCTTGTCCTAAGGCCAATCGAATACTCATGTCCATATGCCAATCGAAGGCACCTTTCCCCAATGCCAAATCGAAGACTCCTTCTTTATCTTCAAAATCTTTATTTTTCTTTAATCAAGTGTTTGTGACCACCCATGTAAGAGAAAACATTGGAAAATATGAGAGGGCAAATTTTGGGATACAACACCCTCGAAAACAAAGATTGTAGTCCCTCGAAGACCCTTTTGATGTTGCCTTCGGTAAACGATCTAGTCCTTGAATGATACTTGTTAAAGCGTCCCTACCAGTTGCCTTCAATGACTATACAATGACCCATGTCTCTCCCTTCACATCCAAAAATAAGGCTTCCTACTAACTAATGGTAGGATAGTATCATCTAAAGGAGAAGGAAAATTACAATAAAGACCTTGAGTAGGTAGACCGTTGTTAATCGCTTTCTCACAAACAGTTCAAAACAAAAACATTTTTTCACAAACACTCTTCAAAAATATTTTCAAAAACCCTTTGTACGCATTCTCGAGGACAAATACGAGAATCATTACAAAGTTGCCTCACATTGGTGTTTCAAAATATCTTTTAAACACACAAACACGAAGCAATTTTCAAAATAAAGTGAGCTAGCGATTAAGAGCCCGTAGATAACTACGGATGAAAAGTGTGCTAACACCTTCCCTTTTCATAATCTACTCTCTGAACTCAAAAATCTCAAAGGTCTTTCCTGTTCTTTTCACCCTTTCCTTATTGGATAAAAGAAAAGTTGACGGCGAATCTTGCTATCTGCAACATTTGCGATAAAATGCAAAACCAAATCAATTATCCCACCGTATTACACAACTATTATTGACATCTCAAGGATACTGATCAACATTGTGTTGCAACTGGTTTTTAAATTCAGAGTCGTCACCCTTAATTTTTATCCTAAAAGAATGGAGTATAAAGGAATAATCCTAAAAGTCAAAGATTCTAGATTTGGACTCGGTTCTAGACGAGGGGAAGGTGTTAGGCACCCCTTATCTACCTTGTTCACAAGGATACTAGGTTTAGAAGCGCGATCTTAGGAAATAAGGTTTTTAATTATTATTGGGAAAAAGGGTTTAAATTTTATTTAGCGGGACTCGCCACGATTTTTGATCGTATGCCTACGTATCCTCCTAGGAGGAATCAGAATCTCATTTCGTAGTTCGCGGTTTTATTGGTATTTTTTATAGGTTGTAGAAATGCCTCGAATTTTCTTTGAAACAAATCCGAGTTTGTAAATTGCAGAATCGTGGATATAGCTCGCAGTCGATAAAAGATATTAGTACAACCTTTTTTTGAAAATGGTTATAAATTTGATTATATTAGTAAAGAAAAATTGATTTGAGGTTGATTAGTTGTATTGAGACGTCGAGCGAGGGAGTCTGATATAGTCTCCTCATCACGTGGCCATATATTGGCCACGTGTCATTTGCAGATGGATTATTTGATGAATTGTGCGGGTTTAAATTATTTTATTTAAAATAATAAACCGGTAGACGATATGTAGACCAATTTAATTACTCGAAGGTAAAGATCCTATTATTTATTTGAATTAATTTTGATTAAAGATGGTGTGAAAACCTAATACATATTTTTTGTATTTTTAATATCTTAAAATTAAAAATATAAATTGAAACATAAAAACACAAGATATTTATATGGCCTACTTTAAACTAAAATGGCAATTGAGTTTTTTTCTAGTGAAAATCAGCTCTCATTCCATTACGTACAAATAAGATTTCAAAATCCTATCATCATTGATTCATTATGTATATCATTTCAAGAGTTATTAGGATAAAAATTAATTGACAACCTAATACCAAAAATCATTATTAAAAAATCACAAATAAAATAATTTTAAATTAGGACTTCTTAGAATATTCCACCACATTAAAAACCAAAACAAACTTCTCTTCTTCATACAGTAGACTGGGTTACTTCTCCGCTCTTCTTCTCCTCTATACTGTTTTCTTTCTCTTTTTTTCTGAAAACCCTCTCCCTTATTGTACCGATTATTTTCTTTTTTTTCCTCTACTGTAATCGCGTTTTTATAGCATTCCCAGGTTTGAAGATTAGGAAAGAAAAGCCTTTGATTATGTTGTCTTATCATTTTAGGGAAATAATAAATTTGTCTGTAACACTTTTAATTTACTTCTGCATGTGGATTCAAGGTTTGAATGCAAAAGAAAAATTTCTGTTTCGATTTGATATAGTCTTGATTTTGTATTGAATGCACTGGGACAATTTTGAAAAAAAAGGAAATCTGGGTTTGTTTGGTATTATTTCGCTGTGTCGTAAATAAAGGTAGGGCAAATTTGGGGTATGACACATTGGTCCTTCAATGAAGTTAACCTAACTAGTTAAATGCAAAGTTTGTGTGTATACATGGTTACTTCTACAGAAAGCAGATTACACAAATATAAGCTTGAAAGACAACACTTAAAAAGATTTAACATAAGAAGCTATAAGTGTTTTTATCTTGTTGTTTGTGAAGATCTTCTTAAAACTTGCTTTTTTCTTCTTGTTGAATGTTCTTTTTGCTTTCATTTGCAGTGTGTTAGATTGCTTCAAGAAGATCTTTTGTAGTAATCTCCCTTGATCTTCTAAAAACACTTTCATTATCTTATGAAGTTTTACACAAGTTTCTCTTTTTAAGTATATGTCTTCTTCTCCTTTGAGACTTCTCTCTTGCTTTGTGAGCAGCACTTTCTTTTTTCTTTTGTTGTATCTCAATCTTTCGTGTGTGTATTGTCTACATTTTTGTTACACGGTTCTTCACTCTCATAAATCACCTTTACTTATCAATCTTCCAATTTGTCTTTAAATAGGTAAATAAAATAGATTCGTTGTAGAAAAAGAGATTGAGTATTCATACATCAGATATTTGTCGGAGATGTTAGCTAGAAGAGAGTGGAGTGACAGTAACAGCACTAGGATGAGACGTGTGAACAGTAAGAGTATATTGTACAATCTTCTATCTGATTTGGAGAGCAGTTGATAGGATGTTGTACTCTAGTCACGTGAAGATGTACTTTAATAATATTTACACACTTTTTCCCGTTACAACTAATCATCATGAGTCAGAGACTTCTGATAGATTTTGGTGAAGCATGATCAGAGGTCAGATGTATTCTCTTCTTCACACTTAACTTTTTCATCTACTGAGTAGGTGCCTCAGTAGCCGCCTGCAGAGTAACCTTTGTAGTAGTCAGAGCCTCCACTTTAAAAGGATAGGGCACCTCTATCGTATCAGAAGGATGGGGCATCTCTATCTCCACCACCATCTACATATCATTCTGAATTGTTTCCTGAACATCAACTTGCTCATCATCATCAACTCTCGTCCGTTTAGAAGCAGGTCTAGATCCTCTACGTCGGATAGTGTGAAGAGCACGAAACTGGTCGGCCAACCGCCTCCTATAAGAACTCGTTAGGGCTACTCTCCTCGCCCAAAAATGTGAGTCCTCTATGTCACTTCACCTCGCTCGAGCCCTCGTAGTCGGAGCTTCAACTATATCATGTTGTCGAGAAGCAATTGTGTCATATGTTCTTCTAGTCTTCACTAAAAAAATAAAACAAAATTGCTTAACCTACCGAATTTTTTGATAAGACCAGTAAAAACAAACTTTTTTCCTGATTTTTTGTAAAATCCGATAAAAATGTATACATTTTTCCAATTTTTTTTTTGAAATAACCAGTAAAAATGTATTGATATTTTCAAAAAAAAACTGTAAATATGCATGAAAAACATGTGGTTTTATCAGATTTTTCCCAAAAGGCAGGATACTTGTCATAAACTCTGAAAAATGCGGCTACGTCATTGAAAAATCCAGAAATCTCAAGAAGTTTTTAGAAAACTCGAAATCGTTTTTGGGAAATAGATTTTTAAAGGATTAATATGGTAGTGTGTGGAGGTGTCAGGTATAAGTGAGGGAAGGGACAGGGGCAAAAAGATTTCTCTTTTTTTTGCTTTAGTATCTTTTAAAAATGAATAAGTGGGATATCTTGGATTCCAACTCTCATGACACTTCATACCTGCAATATAATCAAAACTGCAGTAATGTCCATTCTTACAAAATAAAAACTCCCCTTTTCTGGATCTACTTTGCTAATGTACTAATAGCTATGATTCTTGATCTCGAAAGTGAAAAGATCAGGATTGGATACTTACTTCGCTTTCTTTCTTTCCTTGCCACTAGCTTTCCAAAACAGTCTAACAGAATTGGTTGGATGTTTTTCTTTGCTCCGTCTACCATTCCTGACACCTTCATTCACATGTTCGTGCCAACTTCAAATTGAACTCATAACACTAACTTTTTTATTATATAAAATCAATATGAACCTCACCCTTTAAAAATTGATCTCACATAAAATGGTGAGTTTCATACAAATTTTATCCAATAAATAAATGAGAAGTATTAAAAAGAGAATGGTTTTAATACTCGTGAAATAAAAAATAATATCAACTCACGATCAAAGAGTGATTGAGAGAAGGAGCCTCCCAAAAGAAGTAATTTAACTCTAACCCTAAAGCTCATAATAAGCCTACTCTCCTTAATGATGACAGACACAGCCCTAAACTAATAAAAAAATATAAAGAAACTTCTTTGAAGCATTATTTATTTGCACACTAGAATTATTCCTAAAGCATTAAGATTGTAATAATTGTTGTCATAATGACCATTATGATGATGAATAATAGCATACCTTTTCAACATGCTATATAAGAGTTTAGTAACATGTCATGTTACACACTAACATTTTAGAAAACTACAGTTGTTTGTTGCTAACATGTTCAAGAGAGGTTCTATCACCATATCAATGTTCTCAAATTCTAACCTATTGGTTGGATTGTGTCGTCCACGCAGGCGGCTCCGGCGGAGGAGAGGAAGCAGCGTCCAGCTAGGAAATAAGCGGCGAGGTTACTGCCTTGGATCACGTTCTGTTGTACAATGGGGTGTCATGGTTCCTTTTAGGATGTTGAAGAAGATCATTATGGACATTGCACCAAAGGGACACTGGGTTGAGGCTTATTGTTGGTCTATGCCGCTTCTGCGTCCCCAACTATTCCCCCTTTGTTAAATACAATATCCAAATTGTGAAAACACAAAAGAGTGTGTAAGTTGTAATCAGAACTTTCCATGCTTTATTGATCTGCTTTGACAAAGAGTCCTCCTATATACAGTTTGATTTGTAATCCATCATGTGAAATGACCAAGAAAAATAAAGTTGTACTTGGTCATGGATAACTATAAAGTGTGATTCCCTTAAAAGAAAAACTAAAAACTATGAACTGTGATTACTGATTTGGTGATTAAATGGTCAATTCTTACTAAAGTCAAAATTCATTCAAGTCTATTATATAAAATAAAAAAATTGTTATTTTGACACCAAACTCCTACACCGCATGTCACTGTTCACAAATACAATGAACATAGCATAGCTGTATAAAGTAAATTAAGAGGATGCAATGATATCACAACAATGTTAACACTTCAAATAGAGAACAATTATCTGCAGCACATTCATAAAATACAGAAAACAAACATAAACCATTCACTAGAGAGACCTCGCAAGACTAGACATTGTAGTTTGCTGCATATGGTGTTCAACTAAAAACTGATCTAGATGCAAGAGCTACAAGAAAACGGTTCTACATAATTTACACATACAGAACGGAACATTACAAATTAGCAATCTTTAAGTTCGCGCTAGATCAAAAACTTGTTAGATATTACTTTTTTCCGAAGTAGGAAAATAACTTTGGTTGTTTATCATCAGCTGTCTTCAAAACCTGGTTAGATATTACCTTTTTCCAAAGTAGGAAAATAAGGTTGGTTGTTTATCATCAGCTGTCTTTGTCTTTTCCTTTTTCTTTGCCGGGTTTGCACTTGACTTGTCATTATTTGCTAAAGAGGGTTTCAAATCTGATGAAATAGCAACATACTCACGCTTGATTGGGAATTTGGTTACATTTTGAGAAGGGGAAGAACCACTGGGTTTTAAGTCACTTTCACCCTCCTCTGTTTTAGCTTCTTCGCTGAGGTCTTTGGCTTGTTCGGTCTTGACAGGTTCATGAAATAGTGTTTTATGCTCTGGCTTTGTGTCTTCATCTTCAGCCACCTTTCTTGAAAAGAACTTAGATATTGGAGTGTTTCCTTCTGTCTTTACTTGAATCTGCCAAACATGGGATGTTGCAAAGTAAAGGTTTTCAATATTAAGGTTAAGTCCAACAACAATCTTTCAAAATGACGTACACATATTGAGCGCAACAGCAAATATAGATTCGTAGTAAGACGTACCCAGCCAGCACCAGCCAGCCAACACGCACACACACACGCACACGCATAACATGACACACACACGCACAATGTGGCACACACTCACACGCACACAATGTGACACGCACATGTGCGCACACACACACACAATGTTGACACTAACCAGACACCAGACCCCTTTCCAACAATTAACACCGGACCATAAAATATGACACTAATTCGTCTCTACTTTTGTGGGTATGGGTCAAACCCAACTCTAGTTAACTTTGGTCGGATTAGGCCAGGTCTCAAACACCCCTAGTCAAAATCAATATCCTATTTAAGAATTGAAGGGAATGTGGGTAAAAGATCATAACAAATAGTATCATAATACATATTCTCAGAATTTAGGTTTGACCTAACTCATCCATATAAAACCGGCTTGCATGCCTACAAAACCGGCTTGTAGGGTGAGAGTTGTCCCCACTTATAAACACAACACGGGCAATATCTCTAAGCAATGTGAGACTAAATCTACCCCTTCAAAACCAACACAATGAAAGTGTTAGGGACTGCAATGAAGGCAAGCCAAAGTGCCGCAATTAAGGCGACAAGGGGCAGAGTGCAATTAAGGCGGAATTCCAACACAGATTATAAGATCCTACTGAAAAAGCAAAATTATACTTAGACATAAACATGCTTGCAACCAAAACTAGGTGGTCAAAATGAGATCCTGTCAAAGATCAAAAGTGGACGTGTAAACGTAGGACAGATCATAAGATCCTACCAAAAAGGCATAATTATAACAGAAACAAACGCAACCAGTAACTTCTAAATCACTCCAAATGATTAATTCAATTTAAATTGGAAAATTTCCCCTGGCCTTCAGACCAAGGGGCTGTAATTTTGTTAAGGGTGTGGTTTCTACTTTCCTCTTTATGCCCAATAGGGCATCCCTTAGAAGCGAAAAAAGCATAAACCATTCTCAACAAGAACTATTGAGTCCAGCACTCAATAAATTGTTGCCATTCATTTTCCACTTTTAAAATCTATGCATCAAGGAACAAACAAGAACAAAGATATAAGTAGATGGCCTTGCAGGTTCAGATTAAAAAAAAAGTGAAATCTTCGGTGGAGTAATAGGTCGGACTCAATAAACTAAGAAAAACGCAAGAGGATGAGAAGCAACATTAAGGGAAAGTTCAATTGTCATACCTCCTTTATACACTCAGGTCCATTAAATGATGGCTTGCCCATGGCAGGTGTTACAGGGTACCATGCCTGGAGATTAAAATATTGGCGAAAACCATGAATACAGAGTCATACCAAAGTAGTAAAGCCTTAATATCAGAACATATAATTAAGCAAGGAAGTTCAACACTAACGAAGAAAATAGAAATTGTCTTAATTTTTTCTGCCTCAAAGCATACCAAATCAGATTCTTCATATGGCTTCATCACACTCTTAAAACTGGAAGTGCTGCTTAGCCAGGTATCAGTTGAATTCTTGTCTCCCAAAATAACAGGCATCCTGTCTAAAGACACATTTGAAATACATATTAGGTATTTTTGTCTATATAATACACAGTCACTCAAATATGGTGTATGGGCAATCACCCTAAACTCATTAAACCAAAGAAAAAAACTCGACTCCATTTTCCACATAGGTCGTTATTTAGCTATATTTCACTGTAAATACAAATGAAGAAAAATATTCCTATTGTCTGAAGATATATTCTTCCTTTCATAGTCCCTACTTTCGTCAAACCCTTCCTAACCTGCATTTACCCCACTATTTGATAGGAGTTACTACAAAATTGTTACTGAACAAACAAGTCAACTTTAATATTCTTTTCAGAGTCAATATATCAACCTGAAACTATCTTGGCATGTCAACATTGAATGCACGACTCACCATGAAGCCACTGAAAAGCTGAAGAGGAAGAGGTTGTAACAATAGTAAATGTGTATAGTATTTCACCTGCAGTTAAGAATATTAACATTGAAATTAACAACTGTACGAAGATATCAATTTCCAACATTATGTAGAAATTCCTACCTTCAGAATTTTGCCATGAGTCATAAAGAGCAGCAAAAACAAGAGGTCGTCCATCTTTGAAGTGAATATAGTAAGGCTGCTTCTTTGAACCATCTTTTTTCCACTCATAAAAACTTAAACATATACTTAAAATAATTAATTCAAAGAACTGAACTTAAAGCCACTAATAGGCAAAAACATTAGGAAACTTAGACAACTATAAAAGAAGGACACTCTCAAGTTAAAAGGAATATGTTAAAACATTTATCATACTACTAGTGAAAATATGGAAAATAATAATTCAATACACACCCTTCTACTGCAACAAGGCATCTGTTTTTAGGAAGCAGGCGACGGAATGAAGCTTTCTCATCAATGGATTCAGATCGAGCATTAAACTACAGAACATAAGACAAATCACATCAGACTAAGTATTCCATTAAGGATTATATTTTATAGTAGCAGCATTGAAACATATAGAAACTGCAATAAAAAATAAGAAATCAGTTAATGCATGCATAACATGTAATTTGGTTTAAATATGTCTGTAGTCCAAGAATTTTCCATTTGGTCATCCATTTTCAATTGTTAGTTTCCACTTTGCATTAATAATTTATTAAATTTCACTATTGAGTGCACAAGTGGCATACAAAACAATATACAATTTGATAAACAAAAATAGAGGACTTGTTTGGAAATCGTGATACTATTGAGGGACCAAAAACTTAATCAAGGGACCAACGCCAACCAATAAGCAAAAATAACTTGAAAAGATTCCTTAGAAAAAAATGAGAAAATTATAAAAGCGAAAAATAACTTATGGAGTATTATACTTTAGGATGTTGGTCAATGTAAAATGCAACTAGTTAACTTCTTATCTTAGCTTCTTAGTAAGATTATCCTTTTAACCATAAACTAACTACTAATTACATATTATCGAGACTACCTATTTAAACACTAAACATCTAGAACCCTAAGAGACTTTGACAGTCTTGTATTCACTAGGTGAGTCACGCTACATGGATCAAAGGATGCAATAATATCATAGCATGAATCATGTCTATCGAAACCAAACAAGAGAGAAGGCAAATAATATATAAACCTGGAATCCGTAAGTACCTGCTTCCTTTCTTTTATACTGTTTTATTTTCACTATACTGTTTTATTTTCACTTCAACTAATAAACACGATAGAGTATAGATTCAATACTCCCCTTAACCATTTTCTTGTACTACTATCGGATTCCAAGTCCAACACTTTCCTACAAAGCATGGACACCTCTAAGAGTAGACGTGCCATAGTGTCCAACACTTATATGACACTTGTACGACACGTGTTTGAAAAATCTTACAAGTGTTAGAAAGTCAAACAAGTGTCACCCTCAAAAAATGGATGTGGATGTCCTATGTTTTTGACATAATCAGTGGAGTGTTTGTGTCGTGTTCAGGTGTCCATGTCAGAGTTTGTGCTTCGTAGCTATTATCATTATTTCTAAAATACATTCTCCCTTCTCCCTAACTAGCCTTCTATCTTCTTCCTATCACAATTACTCATCATTCACTTTTCATCTTTTTGTTAACAATTCGAAAACGAAAACAATTTTACCATCTTGTAGTGATCAGGTTTGTCCGTTTTCTTAGTGAAACTGGGGATTAAACCCCATTTCATACAATGAACAACATGGCCTTCACTCTCAGCTGCTTCATCTCTACGAACAACAGGCATATTGAATCCCGGCGACACATTATGCGACGGCACATACCTAGACACAAAATCATAAAAAAACTTACAAAGCACATACACCAAAAACACTACACAATCAACAGAGATAATAATTAAAATAAATAAATCACAAGTGTCGATGTCGGTTTCAGAACGACACACAAAAGCAAAACCTAGTTCTATAATAAGCAGTTGCAACTGGAGAAATTGATAAAAGGATTCAGATCAAGTTGGAAGTGAAGAGAAGAGAATCTAGTTACCGGTCGATATGGAGAAGGCGGGTGGGAGCGGTGGTACGGTGGCAGGCTCTCGGAATGTCATCGGCTCTTAGACTGCAACGAGTTCTTCCGCACATTGCTTCTTTCTCTGTTCACTGATTTTTATGGGTTTTTTACTTGGTTGAGGCGGGAAGAGGAAGTTTCAGAGACAAAGGGTACTCTTGAACCGGTTCAATCGGGAATAGTAAGACTCTAGTTTAATCCCTCACGAAAACCGATAATGTATTCCTTTTAAAAATTAAACCAACACACTTAAATATTGGGAAATGCTCGCATCACATTTTATGAGTTTATTTTTACAATTGAAAACTCAAAAATACTCTATGAGTTTCTTTTTAATTATCATTTTTATGAAGAAAAAAAATGTAATTATCGTTTACAAAATTTAAGATAGTGTTAGTGATAGTTTATCAAAATTATCTCTAATTATTTATTATAGAGAGATAATAAAAATAAGTTAAAATAATAATAAATTAAGGGTATTATAAGTAAAAAGAAAATTATTACTTGAAAAGTAATAAAATCATTAGTTTCATTGGTATATGTAAAAAATTAAAAATGAACGGAGAGAGTACTATGTTTAGATGTGCATCTTCGAACACACTTAAAACTACATCAGCTTTCATAATTTAGCCACACACCTCATTTTGTCAAAATATAAAACGAATATTCATTTTTCGTAAATTTTTAGGTGAATCCGGATATATATTTTTGTAAACCCCCGTGAATTCATTTTAAATAATATTGTCTTAATTTTGTCATATATTGAGGTCAACTTATATTTTAGGTCATATTAGGACATAAATTAGAAAATACATTGTTCTTGCAAAGAACAGATTTGATAACATCCCCGATATTGGTCGAGAGAGATCGCATTTTAGCCTAATTGACGAGGGTCAATGAGGACCTTCTATGACTACTTATGCGCTTAAGTATTTTTCTATGAAATTGTTGATCCCTTTTTTCTTACGTCGAGGTCTCTCTTTTATAGTCTTCCTTGTGAGACAAGGGTAGTCAATGCCTTAAAACCATGTTCATGGCTATTGATGTGGTAGTTATTACATAGGAGACATGTTCTAAATATCCATAAATGTATGTTTGAGGGTCGTTTACTTCGCTGAATAGCTCTTCTGGGCGACTTGGTTGTCCCTTCGTAGGATAGTTATGTTAGCCGACTTGCCTATGTGCTAGCTCTGTTGGGCGACTTGGTACCTTCGTGAACTAGCTTTGTGGGCTAGCTCCACGGGCTAGCTCTCTGGGCTAGCTATTCTGGGCGACTTGGTTGTCCCTTCGTGGGCTATTTGTGTTGGCCAACTTGCATGTGAGCTAGCTATGTTGGGCGACTTGGTACCTTTGTGGGCTAGTTGTATTGGTCGACTTAGTACCTTCGTGGGCTATCACTATGGGCTAGCTCTACGGGCTAGTTTTGTGGGCTAACTCTACGGGCTAGCTCTACTGGGCGACTTGGTTATGCCTTCGTGGGCTAGCTCTACTGGGCGACTTGGTTATGCCTTTGTGGGTTAGCTCTGCTGGGCGACTTAGTTATGTCTTCGTGGGCTAGCTGTGTTGGCCGATTTGCATGTGCCTTCGTGGGCTAGCTGCGTTGGCTGACTTACATGTATGTTAACTCTGTTGGGCGACTTGGTAGTGCTTTTATGGTTTAGATAGGCAAGACCTCCTTTTATTTTCTGGAAGTACATATACCCCCAAGCGTGAGGCCTGAAGGGTCGAAACACTTAAGGTATTGGCGTCTTGGTTGATAATCCATAATATTATTTTCCGGATGTACATAGCCCCCCCCCCCAAACGCGAGGCCTGAAGGGTCGAAGTGCTTAAGGTATTGGTGTCGTGGTTGATAATTCAGAATATTATTTTCCTGATGTACATATTCGTCCAAACGTGAGGACTGGAGGGTCGAAGCACATAAGTTGATTAGCATTTTGGTAGGGAATCATCGCTCCAATTAGGACTCTCAAGTCCTTGTCCCCCATGTTCCTTTCCAAATGTCTTATGGCGACTTAATCTTATGTGAGGCGGACATGGACTTATAGTTCGAGCTATGACTCTTGAGTCCTTATCCCGCTGTAGCGGTATAAATGTTTAAGACTAAGCCATGAGATAAACTTGTACAAATCAGAATAGAAATCGCCACCGCGCTTTATTGTTTTCAAAGGAATGGGAAAAGAGCGAGTAACCCAAAAAGGGGGGGGGGAGATTCAAGGTAAGGGAGTTGTTTGCATCACTACAAGGATTAGCACCCTAAACATCTACGGTACTCCACAGGAACCTCTTTGTAAAATCTGTATATTTTGGCTATGAAATGTTGTGTAAAAATGGATGGTGGAGGTGAGAAAAGAAATATATTTTTATGGTTTTTGCACCCTCTGCGGTTGCGAACCTTTAGTGCCTATGTACCATCTTTTCGTATAATAGGGGATCAGAGTACACGTAGTTCCTCTTTAAAAATTTTAAAACACAAGTGTGTTGGTTAATTTAATGAGATAAGACATCATTGTCATTGTCCGTGTGGAAAACATATTTACTACCCACAATCATAAGAAAAGAGAATTTGCATCATCTCAAAGTGGAGGATATGGCTTGGATTTTAAAATCAACAATGCCTCACTCAACACCTAAGTGGAAAATATCTCTTTTCACCATATATTGCAGAAGTATAGTTGTTTGCATCACTACAAGGATTGACAAGAGTCTAATCTTTTGAGAAAAAGTTTTAAAGATAAGAGCCAAAATGAAAAAATGGTTTGGATGAGATTGATTGAATTTTAGTCTTCTCACAAAAATGTCAAGGTATTATTAAGTTGATAGAAGTTTACATGTGAAAAGGTTTTTTTGAAAATGCATGGACCTAAGTCCAAGTTTATTATGAAAGTGGTTCAAGTTTAAAAACAAGAAGAGTTTTCAAAAGGAGGAAGAAGAGTTTTGAAATTAAAGAAGATGGGAGGAGAAGAAGATACTATCCTAACACATAAGGTAAAAGATAGGGATAGGAACCATCTAACCAACAAGAAGCCAATACTTGACACTATGAGCCAAGAGAGAATTCTCATTCTTTGGATTGAAACCAAGCAAGCAAAGATACTAGACCTCTTGAAATAACCAAACTTCAAGTGTATTAAGTCTTCACAAAAATTGGGCAGAGTAAAGGCTGTATACGGGTGTTGTACCCCAAAATTTGCCCTCCCATGTTTCTCAAGACATGTCAAGAATAATCTCCAAGTTGCTCAAGATGGCTCAAGAGTTGGACAGTCAAATCATCTCCTAAGGCAATCAATCTCAAATTAGGGTTTTGTGTTACATCAAGGTCCTTACATCCAAATGACCTCAAGTGCTCCCCAATGTACTAATATGTTCTCAAGTTCATCTATGTCAAATTTCAAGCCTTGCAGAGGAAGTTTGGTCAGTCAATTGCTCAAGAGGCCCAAAAATCGACTGTGCTAGGGCAAAAGTCAACTGTGACCTACAAATAGTCAAATCTCAAGATTTTTTGTCAAAATTCTCATTTTGAAGGATAATTCATCATTTGATCAAGGGTTGATCATTATTCATCAAGGATTGCTCAAGATTCATCAAGATTCAAAAGTTGCTAAATTAGGGTTTTGTAGGAAAAGTCAACTCAACTTTGACCAAGCATAACTTTCTCATACTTTATGAGAAATTACCCATCCGAAGCTCATTTTTAAGAGGATGCAATTTCCTACAATCCCTCTTCACACCCCAATATCAATAAATGCACTCACAAGAAGTTATAAATTTAGACATTATAGGTCATTTTTGAAAGTCAACAAAAACACCTTTTTTGCCAAAGCTTATAACTTGAGCATGGAACATCAAAATGATATGATACTAAAAGGGTTGGTTAGAGAACATCTCAAGGTTTCTAAAAAGTCCGAGAACACTTCCAAAAGTTCAAAATTGAAGAAGTTATGCATTGTTGAAGTTGGGCATTTTTCCAAAATTGCCAAAAGTCAACTATTCCCAAAACTTCAAATTTTGACAAATGGGCCCACTTTTTTCCACTTGATTTGATCTTATCACACCACACACGTGTCATATCTTCAGTTTTATGCCAATTTATTAATTTTTTCTATTTTATTTGATTTTTATTGATTTAATTCATTTTTAATCAATTTAAATCAAAATAAAATCTAAATATTAATAACTTGTGATCTTTTTGACTGATACAGCTTTCAATTGACATCATGAACACAATCAAATTCGTACCAAGGCATATCATGCACAAAATATTGGATTTGGACATTTTTGGAAGCTTTGTTAATGGAGGATCAAATCATATCTTGAAACATCAATGCTCATGGATTCAAGCCCAAATTTTTAACCTAATACAATCCTTGTTACATGTACAACAAAAAGGATACAAGAACACGACCTAGAGGCTGCACAAAAGGCAATACCAAAACTTGAAAAATGCTTGAAAAGCTTGAATCTGAAATCGATCCTAGAGGCGTTTCCAAGGCAAAAACTCCACGCTATCATCTTGCTTGACATCCACTGAAGCTAAAGCAACCATTCACAAGCCCTGAAACCTCCTAAATCACGCTGTAAGTGTTCTTGAACGTGGCCCTGTACATGAAATTGTAACCTTGGATTCTTGCATCTTTTTGATAAATCATGGGCATATTCTTGATCCTTGCATAATTTCCAAGCTATCTGCAATATTTGATTTCATTTTTATGGCCTGTAATGTAATACCCGAACCTAGGGTTTCTGTTTCTTGTTTTTAGGCGTTTGCTTTGCAGGTAAAATTAGGACCAATAATGGACATGGTTGTGTTCAGGGAGGAGAGACGAGCATGGTGATGGTCTCCGTTTGCATTTATATGGCCTATAGCGCATTTTAGGACGAACCCACGGATCTTGCTGCGGATAAAAATCCACAGGTAAGAAAACCAGTGTTTCAACGAAGAAGACGACTATGTGTCTTCTCCTGATTGGTGGTTTCAAATATTCGCGCTATTTTTTTTATTTCCAGGCATAATGTTTTGTTTTATATATAATAATTGTTGCCTATTCCAATAACAATAAAATGGCAGTGGTGT